TATACCGTATATTCCCTACTTAATATGAATCTCAAGAAATTTCAATTAATTATGGAGATTTAAAATTTAATCTTAATATGGAATAGGAAGTGTAAGATCCCGTTGATTTGTTTTTCTGCTCCTTCCTGTGAAAATAGCGGACTAAATGGCCCTAAGACATAAAAAGTAGTCCTTTAAAACTCACAGAGAAAGTTAAAATGTAGGTGATATTTTTAAGAAATTCTGTTTCATTGCCAACTTTGTATGGTATGGTTAGGAGTATAAGTAACCCTATGCTCCTTGTTCTGCAACGCAACTGAACACAGATATAACTTAAATACCTTCCTCAGGGTCACGCAAAGTTGATTTAAGAGGGCATTAGTACTGACTATGGCGTGACACGATATTTTTTGGGCTACGGGTGCTTTGAAATAAAGAGTGTGTATCGTCCATTGACGTCTTCAGCACACATTATAAACATATACACATAATATTATGAGTGAGTTAATTAAATATACGCACTTTTAATCCATTTCACATAGGACGTACTTCGTACAGACCTCATGAAGATCTACCAATCATTCTCAGAGATGCTGTGTATCTGTAGGAGGTACTAAACAAGAATCAGGGAAAGTTATGTAAGTTTGCAGGACTAGTTTCAAAGGTTTTATAATGTTCCTCAATACTTGGTCTAAGCTGAATGTAGAGGAACCTATTGAACTGTGTAGCGACTTATCGCTGAGTTCAAGTGTAATAGTAAAGTCCAGAGAAGAGTTAAAATACCCTTTTATTCCCTCAAAGAAACAACAGAGTCATGCCTTTCTCGGGCATACATGGAAGCCTCCACTCGGGCTTCAAATCAAGATAAGAAGATAAGAAAATAAGAAACTAATCTAATACTAAATTAAACCGACTTAGCCGAAGTTAGACACAAATACCTAACATAGTTGGCACTTAATTAAATTAGCCGACGATATCAACAGGCACGTACAATACGGCCGAGCGTAGTAGGTTTAATCACAAAGTAGCCTGACGGGAAATACGCGCTACGAAGGACTCCTAAGCTCTCCTACTGAAATAAGCTGAACCTTCCTTAAATACTTCTTTTACCTCATTTACATGCAACGCGATACTGCAAACGCATTCTCTTAGGGAGTTCTAAGTGAAAAACAACGATTGAAAGGAAAGTGTTTCAAAATAAGAAATAACTGCTATAAAATTAAAATAAAGCTTAAAATTTGAATGCTTATAATGTAGCTTTCCGAAAAAGTACCAGTTAAACTGGTGTCCGCCGATAACATCGCGGACAAAACAACGCAAGGCGAAAAAGTCGTGCTACAAAACATCGCAAAGAGAAAACATCGCAGTTCTAAAACATCGTGGTACAAAACATCGTCGTCGAAAATAAAGAGATTGAAAAACATCGCAGTTTAAAAACATCGTCGTCGAAAATATCGTGGTAAAAAATAAAGTATCTACAAGTCATCGCATGACGATAACATCGCAGACATGCTTTTTACAGACTTTAGTAATTGTAAATGGGTATTCTCATGATGATTTGTGAGCGCAAAATGGAAAGAAGGATAATTTTTACTTTCACATTTTTTATTAACTAATAAATTTTTGCTGAAAAAGTAAGAAGGAAACTTAAGCACAGAAAATTAAATACAACTTATAGATTATACTTTTCATGAAAAATTACCAGTAAAAACTTTATAAAAATGATTTATTAATGGCCTTTGTTAGTTAATTATGTCGGTTTAAAATTCTATTAAGTGCTATAAGTTGCATTAATTTTTCTATGCTTAAGTTTCCTTCTTATTTTCTCAGCAAAAATTTATTAGTTAATGAAAAATACGAAAGTAAAAATTATTCTTCTTTCCATCTTGCGCTCACAAATCATTATGGGAATATCCATTTACAGTTATTAAAGCCTGAAAAATGTATGTCTGCGATGTTATCGTCATGCGATAATTTGTAGATACTTTATTTTTTACCACGATATTTTCGACGACGATGTTTTTAAACTGAGAAGTTTTTGAACCGCTTTATTTTCGACGACGATGTTTAGTACCACGATGTTTTAGAACTGCGATGTTTTCTCCCACGATGTTTTGTACCACGACGTTTTCGCCTTACGTTGTTTTCTCAGCGACATTTTCGTCCACGATGTTTTCGGCTGTAACCGTTAAACTGACTTCACATACTTTAAAGCGAAAATCTGGAGGGTTGCTATTAATCTGGAAACCAAGTTAAGTTCTACAGATTCTATTAGATAGGTGAACAAGTTACGATACGTCTTAAAACTCATAAACACAGAAGAGGTTTTAAAGAACCCTTTTATTTAGTTTGAACTTTGATTACAAAAGGCCCGAAATGTGCTACAGACAAATCACCATTTGTGGTGATGTAAATTAAGCAGCAACAGTCAGTTAAATTCAAACGCGGATAACGCAGTCTTCAACAAAATAAGCTACAAGCTGGCTCAACATTTTACCGGCGCGTTAAGTCTGAAACGTCGGCTGGCGAGATAATGCAAAAATCGGAATAATCCTTTTGAGATAGAGCTGGGAGGAATTATAACAGCGCGAAAAAAGTACTAGAATTCTCTTTATTAAAATACAAAAGCCTCAGCTTAAATACCCTCTACGCAATTAAAAATAACAAGATTGGAATAAATGTTATAATCAACTAAACATATTATCCAGAGAAAAATTTTCGGCCAATATTTACAGAAGAAATTCCATTTCTTTATCCCAGTGACTTTCAAAGAGCTAAATTTCATCAAGACATTGCAACAAGTTGTACCTCGAAAAGTACCGGTGCATTTATTGAAAAAATGAGGACAGACACAGATATTGCATGCATACATTTTCAAGGTCTTTCTGTGAAGTTCCTTGAAGTTTCAGCTATGGACTATTGCCCTTTTGGAGCCTTGAAAAGAGTTCATTCTTAGCGTAAACCCACTACAATTAATGAGCTATGGAAAGTAATTGAAGAGGAATAGAAATCAATACCCTTGGCAACTTTACGAAAAGCTCATCTATCACAGATATTACGACGCAGACATAGTCCAGAAAAATGGCTATCAAATCGAACAGTTAAAAAAAAACTGTTTAAATTTTAAATATTAATTAAACGGACTCGAAATCATTCTAAAAATGTGTAAGTACCCTTTTTTATTTAGGAAAGTTTTTGCAGAAATTTTGAGTACGCTTTTTACGAAATTTTGCTGACAAATGTGGTTCAGAGAAATACATTCTTTGTCACTGCATCAAACTGCCTGCCTCATCGGATATTATGGTATTTAGAAAAGTCTGGTTGCACAGGCCGTTGGATATGGGTTGGAATACTTAACAAAGCATGGAAGCTGCTAACTGAAGTGCCCTTAAAAACAAGGGCCCTAAAAAGTCAACAAAAAGTCTTGATCTAAAATTCTTTTCAAGAGTCTGGTTGAGGAAAGAGGATTATCAGACCATTGAATTCAATCCAACAGGAATACTATTGATCAAATTTGAGAAGATTTCTAGGCAGATGGTCCTCATGTACTCATTCTAAATTAAATAATTCATGTTACTGAAACATACACCTATTTTACTTGGAAATTAATTATCTGGTGCCTAAACGATAAAAACTTTAGTGCACAGATTTTAGCTCTCTGCCAAGCTATCCGACGCGTTAGACATATACACGATGATATGATATGAGGGACGCAGCCGACCCTCCTGGCAGACTTTACCTCGCCCTATGGCCTTTTTGCGGGCTTCGCCAGAGCAAGCTAGAAACAACACCTCAACAAACAGACATAAAGAACATAACTAAGAAACAAAATTCAAATTAAAATCCCTATTGCAAGCATATTATGATTAATCTTCTCCATCATTATCCCGGCAATTTTTTTTTCATTCTTTTAAAATCATTTAAAATATCATATATATTAAAAACATCATTTTTCTTAAACTCGTTCCTGATATCAGTAAAATATTTACATGTTTCCACATAATGCTCTGACATTATACACGATATAACTTTATAAAGCATTTATGCTAATTAATCATTTTTAAAAATTTAAAACTTTAATATAACATTTCATTTCCATAGTTTCACCGCTATGCAAATTAGATGGTAGAATGTTTAAGTCAATTGATTTGAATCTTTAAATATAGAAGTTTAAGCAGCGTCGCCTACAGTTTACGGTTCTGTCTCCATGCTCTGCCAATAGATATTCCGCCATCAGCCACTCTGTTAGCCGACATTAGAACGCGCCATTACAGTACTGAGACAGCTTAAATAGGCCAATTTCTATAATCTCCGATTATGATGCTTTAAATCTGAATTATCAACTTATGTTATTTTAAATACCTGCAAGTTATAGTACTTTATTTGAATGCAGAAATGGTGCTTTCTCTTCATTTAATGATTTAATACAAAATTTAATAAAATAAACCAGCCGTTTGCCTGTAATCGAGCCTGGGCCAGCGACTTGGCTGCTTTACATATTTGGGATTCTTTGACAAAGTTACACATAATGCTACCATATGGTATGAGGACCATATGGTAGCATTATGGACCATATGGTAGCAACGATAAATAAAATAATAATCTTCGTTTATTATTTTATTTATCGTTGCTACACAAGTGTTTAAAAACTCTGCAACTTATTTCTGCGTCAGCGAATTTTCTTCTGTTACCAACGTGTTAGCTTTAGAAACATTAGAAATAGTACGTACCTTTTTCGTTGGAGTCTTCTTCCTATATAAAATTAATGACTGACGTTTTTCCCTTTCCTTTTAATAATGTTGATTATTTTGCACACGGCTGTTTTGTCTGTTACCATTTATTTACAGAATTCACAACATTTTCTCACATTCAAAGTTTACAAATTTAGCGAATTATCTTGCATTTTGTTTGCAGTTGCAACCAAATTTCTTCCAAGTTCATGGCAGCAAGTTATAAGACATGTATAAGAGTAATCAGATTACTTCGTGTTGCGCAAATTAAAGGAAAATTTCTTTACTTACCTGATAAAACACGAAGGGAGGCAAGGGCCCGAACTGGTTCTCCGACGCCATTCTCAGCCACACACTCATATGTGGCTTCATCCCTGCCGTGCTTGACCGGATCTATGCGGAGAACAGATCCATTCGGCATCTCCTGCACTGTGTACCTCTGGGTGGTCACTCTTTTTCCGTTCTTTCTCCATTCTATTAGAGGCTTGGGGTTACCGACCGCCGCGCAGACAAAACTTGCCACGCCGTTGTTGAGCACTGTTTGGTTCTGGGGGGATGTCTCAATCCTCGGTGGATCTGACAATAAGAAAAAGAAGTTAGTGCCGTGGAAAGATTAACGAATAAATAAACCTCTTTAAGCCTGCAATTACTTTGGGTTCCCATTGTACCAGGCTAGGTTTCACCTCCACAGAACTCGAATTACACAGCCGAACAAATAACCAAGATAAGGAATAAATAATTAGATTACTAACAACACCTAAAACATGCTGGTGAAAATATGCTTAAAAATAAAAGTGAGTTGTCTAAAAATACGACAACTGAAACTTCTATATTTATATATATTTTTTATTAACTGTGTACAACTGTTTTAGGAAAGCAAACAGAAAAAGCAAGACAACAAATTTTCTTAACTAATATCCACATCCTTTTGTAAAGATAGACTGTCTCTCGATAGTGTTCACCAACAATGAGAATTACGATGGTCCTGTATTTTGTTTCTTTAATTAAAGTAAACCTTAACAATGTGTAAAATTTCAGCCGTCTTAAATTTTTCACATATCTGCCATATTTCAGAATTAATTTATAAAATAAATGTCATATAAATGGACTACTCCGAATGATTCGGCGGCCCAATGAAAAATTTTACGTCTCAGAATCTTCCAAATAAAATAATCTCCAATGAAATTATGAATAAATCAGTAAGGTATAATTAAAAAAGCCATAATTTTTTCTTTCAAATTGGAAAATGATGATTTATTTGTCAGTTTTTAAAACTGAAATCTTTTCGCTAATTAAGAATCCAAATTAAGGAAATCAATTAACAAAAAGACTAAAAATTTATATTTAATGGAATTCTTTAAGATTTTTGTAATCGGTTAAAAGTAATTATTAATTAAAAATGTCGTAATAGATCTTATACTAAGATACCTTTTCACAATTTGGGATTTCAACTAATTATCAGGCGATACGTTTAAATTAATAGCTCGATTTATGTAACAGAGATTTAAATGCAGAATGCTGTACATTGTTAATATGTTCACAGTGGAAAAATTAAAAGGTTTTCATATTTCATTCGAAACCAGAATGCTTCTTCAATCTTGGGATTTCACCGAATTTATGGCTAAATGGATGTTCAAGTAAAACGGTTGTATTTATTAACAACGGAATATAATACTTAATTACCAAAAAATTAGATATTTATATATTTCGATATTTTTTAATACATTAGAATATTAGATAGCAAATATACTATTTCATATTATACATGAATAAAATCATCTTTCTGAAAACCCAGGGAAAAGCGTTCTTATTGAAGCAATATCTACATGCTTTAATTAATTTTCCATATTTAGTATTTAAGTAAACATGTGTGAAAATGTAATAATTTAATACAGTAAGACCCCGCTTAACGCTGTTTCGTTTAGCGCTGTTTCGGTTTAGCGCTCTTTTATTTCAACCCGGAGATTCCACGAAATCGCTCGCAGCATACGGGGATTCACCGAAATATTATGCTGCGATAGGTTTCAAATACATATCCGAAAGAGTGTACTTGTATTTCTTGTTTGGTGCGCTATTGTACAGACATGTATTTTGAAGGGGTAAATGTGGAAGATGTCGAAGAAATAATTCAAGAAGCAGCGGCTAGTCTTTCTAATGATGAGCTCAAGGAATTAACTGAACAAGAAGAAAACAAAAATGTTGACAGCAGTGATTCAGAAGAAGAGCAAAAAAACTTTCGATGGCGTTTGTAAAAGGAGTTTGTCTACCATAACTTAAATAATGGATCAATTCATTGAAAATGATCCGAATTTTGACAGGAGCTCAAAAGTAAGGCATGGTGTTAGAGATGCTCTATCCGTTTATGAAGAACTTTTAAGAGAACAACGCAAAAGAAAAAGGCAAACAACATTAGATGTTTTTCACAAAAAAGCAGAACACTGAAAACGCGGAAGGCTAACTAAATATGACTGACTGAGAATTTTATTTGTTTTTTTTAAGAATATTCGTTTTGTTATTTATATTTTGTTTTTATTTTTGCAAGAAATAATAATGTAATTTGGGCTTTAAGAAATAAATGTTTGGTTTTATTTTTATTAAAAAACATACTTTTTAAATTTAATACCTAACCAATTTCCTAGCCATCTTCCCCTAACCCCAATATTTACATGTAAAGATAGCCTCGTTTAGCGCTGTTTCGCATTACGCTCTACTTTGATGGAACGTATCCCCCGCGTTAAGCGGGGTCTTACTGTATGTGAATGCATTAAGCGCCGAGCTATTGCTCAGAATTCGTCAAAAAAAATTCCTAGCCTAAATAATGTTTTCACTCCGTAAAAGATGCCCCAATCGTCAAACGATAAATATTTTTCAAAATTCCTTTTATTTCAAATTATTATACAAACTATAATCAATATATGTAAATCTAAAGCGGAAATACAATATTACAATATAATCTATGTCGCTTAATTTAGTATGAGATTGCTTTTACAAAAAATAGCTCATCTACTCAAATTGTAACTAAATTTAATTTCATAATACTTCTGTCTAGGAAAAAAGAGAGAACTGAATTCCAATACTTCCTTTTATTTGTATTAAAAAAAACTGAATTCAATATTTCTGGAAAAAAATTACTGCGATTGAATCTCTCTCGAAAAAGCACTGCAAATATCTTTTCTTTTCACTGTTGCTTTTGTCCTCGAGATGGGGAGAGAAAAATACAGCATTTTATAATAATAATAATAATAATAAAAAAGAGCTAAAGATGTGATCACTGCTTATATTGTTCTCAGAATAAGAAATATAATTCAGATAAAATTGATCTCAAATAAAAAAAGACGGAATTAATAAATTAAGCAAAGTATTTTACAAAAATTATGGATACATAAGTGTAAATTACAAATAAGACGACATTTAAGGAATGCACAACTGTAAGACATTAAAGATGACACGGATGGCCTTTTCAATCGAAATGTACTAATTTCCCTACATTTAAAAAATATTTAAACGAACAATTTATTTAACCACTATAAGAAATTCAACACTTTGTTACTAATATGCAAAACTTCACATATACCTATAAGTAAATTATAATTTAAACATCACACAAACCCAAAAAGCACTTTTCTCACATTTCAAATGAGAGACTTGGGAAAGAAAATATCAATTTATCCTTTTTTTTTGCTATTATTTTATAGACTTAAAAATGGCTTCTGAATATAACAGACTATGAGTCATCAATGAACCACAGTGGAAGAGACAGTAACTAGTTATAAGGCTACTATTATTTTGCACAACCAGTTACTTTATGATGTTGACCTTTACTGTTACTTCTTCTTTCCGTTTCGCTACCAGAATGCGAATTTAGCTTGAGGTTAGATGGTATTTAGATGGAGGTTTTTGGATTGTAAGACAGAGCGTGTTTCTGCCTCTCGAGGCCACGTTACTAGGTTTAGCCAGCTCTGCTAAGATTGTAATTCTTCGGCTTTGCGTTATTGCTGCCAACATTTAAATTGTTACGCCGGTGCGACGTTTTGGGCCAGCTTTGCTTTGAATCAAATACGTAGTCTTTGACTACTAGGCTTAAACCTGAATTTGACTGTTATTTGAAGTTTCATCGCCCCAAGTGGTGGTTGTTTTGTTATGCACAAGTCGTGCGTTTAAGTTCTGATTCAATACAAAGGTTGTTTTAAACCTTTTCGAGACTCTGTAGTTCTGTTCTTGTTGTACTGTGACTTATCTCACTTGTATGACAGTAACATCAGAACAAGCCCACGAACTTCATCGTAGCAAGGGGCTTGAGTGCCATATACGTGACAGAACGACTTCGCTCAGTTTCGCCTCCAATTTTGATGGAGAGCATCCAGGGGGGGCGGATCTAAAGGTCTCCCACCCCTCTTCTCCTACCTGCAACCTCTCGAGAGCAGTTTTCGGCTCGCCATATATTTAGAGTGCCTTCTTACCGCAAAGACACTGTACATTTACAAACATCCATGCCTTCTTCGAGATACGAACTCGGGCCCTTCGGTACCGCAGTAGGCTTCCCTAACTATTATACTGTTTGGGCGGCCTCTGTAGTTCTTTTCAGACGATGCGATAATTCGCTCCAAGTCTGTTGGGAGTTTGATGCTAGTGTATGCTACTAAAGAGAGTCAAACTCTATATAGTAAGGAATATAAACTTAGTGTTAACTCGAAGCTATAGTTATATTAGCAACTAATTTAAGAGAAAAGTACCAATTTGAACTGTAGAAATAATAAAATTTAAACAAATTTTTTATAGTTTATGGAAGAATTTTATTGTTAAATTTTGCTTTAATTTCAAAAGAAAAGTCTTAAAGAAAATTTTCCTTGAGTCCAATTTCTGAAGGGCATGTTCTTTCTTTTAGCTATTTTTAAAGGTTATTAATAAGCCTTTTCTGTGAAATTTGAAAATACCTGGATTTAACAAAAATACACTGACAAAGGATAACATAATTTTAAAAGAATATCGGTACTATTATACAGTAATGAAAACAGAATGAAAGGAATCGGATAACAAAAAATATATATAAATCAGATTACATTATAAAATTTTTTAAAATACGTTTGGGGAATGAGATACAATAAAATGATAGAATAAAATACGATAAATGTGGAATTCAAGGAAAGAACACAGCAGTTAATAAAATAAGTTTTCTTCAGTACAATAAGACGATTACCAATGTATTATAACTGCTTCAGAATGCTTCAACTGCCTCATGTTTCGATTATTAAATTACAGCCGTAATAACAGGTAACGATATAATAATTTTCAAAACTCGTTTAGTAGGAACTACTTGCAGCATTGAAATCATTAACAAGTCCCTCCCCCCGAACTTCGATTCTATTCTATAGTATACGATTTCAAATACTCAAGCATTCGACATTAAACGAAAATGAAACCACTACATGAATCTTTACATGAAGGCAAAGAATTTAAAGTTTTCAACCAGACAAAAGGTCTTTCATTCTGATTGTAAAGTTTTATTTCTCGTCCACGTATTCATGTGGCTTAAGAAATCATGAACTCAAAAGCCATGTTGAAATGTAGACTTCTGG